ATTTTGTCACAAAGGTCATTAATAAAAATGTTAAATAAGAGAGGACCCAAGGTAGAGCCAGTAGATGAAACTGTATCGTTTGTAGGGGCACTGCTTTGACTGCCACTTTACATCGTCAGTCTTTATGGTTTAGGCCTTCTGACCTCTTCCAGATCCGAAAGTCACTTGAAAGTATGAATCATAGGTATTTGGTAGGACTCCTTGAACAAGTGACCACTTTCCGTGTAGGCCAAAATATGTTTTAGGGTATTTCATTAAATTCTAAGTAGATGAAACAATTTTTCAAGCAAAATGTGGCTGGTAGAGTATTTCGTTGTCGCCCTCTGTCGACTGGAGGTTAGTGTGCTCGACGCTGGACCCAAGGTTTGCAGGTTCAAACCTGGCCAAGGTCGATAGATTTTTAACGGTGATAATAATCCGTAGCATATCTTCCTTCAGAGGGGAAGTAAAGTCAGTGGTCCCATGTTGTAGATTTATGGCATTTAAAAGAACCTTACGAGCATGATTCAGCAGCCATTTCTCACCCGTCTCACTACTACATGGTTCTAGCAGACAAATCAGGATTGAGTAAAAATTGTGCAGAGGCAGTGGTCTTGTCATTCACTACTCACAAATGCACATTTCAAAGACAAAGAAGCCTCCCACATGGGAGGAGGCCCAGGCTCAGCTTCGGGCTGTTGCGCCATAGAAAAGATAGAGTATTTCATTCACACAGTGTATTTTTGAGACAATGACTGGTAGATATCAACAAACTGGCCTTCCTGAATACCCTGTGTAGTATGACCGCCATGTTTTCTATATAAATTAACCATTTCAATGTTATGGATGGAAAACGTCCATTGGACACAGCATGCTGTAATAATGATTTTTCTTCATTGTCTGTCATTGATGTAGTTATACTGATCTTGACACATGACAGTCATACCATATCTTTTAATTTTAAATGTAAGAACATTGCGTGGATGTAAAATGCTCAAAGTTTAATGCTCATTGGCTAATGAACACCCTAATGATTTTCTTATAGTGTATGATATTCAAGTTAGAGACTCTAATGAGAGATCAAGAAAGGACACTGAGGAAAGCGAAGCAAATCTTGGCAAAGGACAGTTCTGCCACCACTTGCACTCCTGCACATCCTACGAGATCTGCAACCACTCTGTACCAAACCCCAGTTGCTTCAGAATCAGATAAAACTAATTCATGTGGATTGCTGTCACGAAGTTCTGAAAGAGTATGTATTTCAAATAAACTAGGAGCGAATGGAAAACCATGACTTCTTTACTTTCTTTCTTTAAAAGTTAATGTAGGTGAAGATTTTACTTTGTCTTTAATTACGTTTTTACTTGCTGTTTTCTGTATTAGTATGATATTTAGTCTGATAATATTTTGGGAACAGTAAATTATTTTAGAAGATATCTTGTGGCAACACTGTAGCTCTCACAAAGACATGCACAATTTGGTTGATGGAATTACAGATTTTATGTCTTGGCTACACTTCATCACTATGAAGTTAGCTTCTAGCTATCAGAACAGGTTTCTCTTGAAAGCTTCGTCATGTTATATTGATTTTTTAAACAGGAAGAGAAAAATACAATTCAACAAACATTACTGCACATGATTCAACCTAAGTTTTTATTTATAATTATAAAGAAAAATTTTATGTGTCAGGTATAAATGGAATAGCAGCAGTTGTGTCTTCCAACAGCATTGTTTTGCAGACATGGGACCTGCTTTTATTCAGAACCAGAATCTTCATTTACATTTTAGCAGAAAGGTGGAGGGAACAAAGTATGCTTAGAAATGTAAAATGTCTTTACAGGCAAACCTTATTTAATCAATTTCTGGAAAACTGATAATTCAGACAAAATAATTTGCATTAAAATGTAGTGCTACGTATTTCATACATCGTATAGTTGATGTATGGGACCTAGTGCGGCTGCCCAGCAGTAAGGATGGCCCGGCATGGAAAAACAGACGAAAGTGTTAACGACAAAGTTGAGTATTACACATGTGTAATGTCAGGAATGGATGGCAAAGAGGACCATAAATAACATTTAAAATGTATCATCGCGCTGTTTACGGTTTATTTGCTTAGTCAAAAGAAGATATACTATTACTAATGTTTTGTGAAATTCCAATGTCGATTTAGCGTCCCGCTCGCCCGTGTGTAATGTCGGCCATGTTTCTTGTAGTCAGCTACTACATGGTGAGTGATCGGTAGCGGTCGGTCAGTCGCGTAACACATGAGAATGAACGGAATAGCACCACAGTCCATGCAGCATTTGGACGGCGAAGAAAGAAGCTGAAAGGAAGCCCTGTTTTCGAAGTTGGTGTCTGTAAGAATATTGAAGGAGCAATTTTCAAGATGAACTCTTACCAACTTTTGATATTGTCAGACATTATTTTATTTAGAAAAATGAAAGTGGTTACAACTCATGTTTGTATAATCTGTGGTTACATCTGTCGCTAGGCCTGGTGACCACGATGTAGTTCAGGATTACCTATAGGTATTTGTTTCTGGCCCAGGGAGGGGAATATGACAAACATCCAAAATGAAGATGGCTGTCTTCTGTGTTGTTGCTTTCTCTGCTTGGTAATGACGATTATAATAACGTACAGATAAATTGCCTGAACTAAGCAGAATGCGCTCTTTTTTCTGTGGATTTTCTTGAAATGAATTTTACTGAAATGTTCAAATAAACACTGATAATTATAAGTGTTTATTTCCCAAAAGCTTACTCGTGCAATATTTCTCTTGTTTAGACTACATATTTCGGCTATTACATAACCATCATCAGGTCTGTTCTTAAGTTACTGCATTATTATTAGCAGCATGAAATGTTACACTGGTTACAATTTTTCAGTTCAATTTAAAAATTTTGAAACACTTTCTTGTGTGTATATATTAAACATGTGTGAGTCTTGTGGAAATGTAGGTGAATCAAATATGAACCTAACAAGTCAGAACGAAATTACATGTTCAGTTGTTGGGCTTTAAAAGCAAGAGCGGTATAAGTCTCCATTGTTACATGGATTAGAACCAGAAAGAGATAAAAATTATGATTTCCATCTCAGTCTCCTTGAAAAGAGAGATCTGCCAACTTCAGAGGTGATTACACTACCATTGTCTATGCCAGAACTGCGAAACATGCGGCCCCCGGAAACATTTTCCCTGGCACATGGGTGATGGGGTCAACAGCCCCAGGGCCTTGAAAAATTACTTTTAAAATGAATCAAGTATAATAAAACGTGATGATGTTCTTAAATAAGGGCAGATGAAATTGCAATTCCTTCTTATGCTTCTTCTCATTATTTTTAAATTTATTTCCTTCTGATAGGGAACACATTTGATATTAATTATTCACATTTTACATTTATGATTGAAGGTAACCAAATTATAAGTAAGAGTAATTCTCTTTGTATTTTTTCAACTACCAACAATATGTAAATATGGACAGACAATGGTCAGCCTTTATGTGAACACCTGCATGTATAACAATGCAAGAAAAAGCATTGGAATTTCTAACCCACGCATGCAACAATGTTGGCTGGGCATGCTGTAAGGCTCTTTTCTCATTTCTTATGCGTGCAGTATAAAGCCTATATGAAACGAATTGCACTCCATTCCTTTATCTCAAAAAGCATTGGAATTTCTAACCCACGCATGCAACAATGTTGGCTGGGCATGCTGTAAGGCTCTTTTCTCATTTCTTATGCGTGCAGTATAAAGCCTATATGAAACGAATTGCACTCCATTCCTTTATCTCAGAAACTAATTGTTATGTCATCTGTTTACTGGGCATCGTTGTGTTTCATTATTGCCATCAACAATCCGCTTTCGTTATTGCGGAAAGAGCTGAGCTGTGAACTGCTTGTAGAAGAAGTGCATCATAGGCTAGATAATTTTGTGTTGTTAGAACCCTTTTAGAATATCACAAGTACTTATCTTGTATAAGAATTATTATGAAATCTGTGATACTGCTTTCCACTCTCCATCTTATTTTGATTAAATTGATCAGGTAAATATAGTAGCATTACAATTAAAATAAGCACTCCTTAATATTCCCAATATTGCAATGAGAAACTTCTGAAATTCTACTAACCCTCCTGGAATCATTGAGATCCACTTGAAGAGCACTACATGTCCAAGGGGTCCACAGTGACCAGTTCCACATATTGTGACCTCCATGCAAATCATTTAAAACCAAGAATCAGATCGGAACCTCATGGACTGCTCAGTGCTAGTGTCCTGCTGCAGCACTGCACTCTCAGCCCATACTGCCTGTGCAAGAGCTACAACCACCAAGGACATGCATTTCAAGTGCCTCCCTCATCCTCCATACTTGCCTGACCTTGCCACTTCCAACTACCATACATCTGGGGCACTCAAGGAGGTAACAGACAGAAAGACCTTCTGCTCCCATTAAGAAATGTAAAAGGCAGTGCATGAGTGTCTGTGCAAACAACCAAAGGATTTTTTCAAGAGAACCTGAAGTATAGGTGACACTGGAGGAAATGCAATGGGGACTATGTTGAAAATGAAAAAATCTGTACAGAACCTACCTGCAATATACAAGCTGTGAAAGAATTTTTAAGGTTCTCATTTCACTTGCCCACATACAATGCAGTAAATGCAAGTCCTGATTGAAAGAGAGAAACAATGTGCATTTTAACCTTGGATGATGAACAAAGTACAAAAACCCAATAACTCTGTGAAAAATTATGTTCAGCCATCAATGGTTAAAGATTTTGCTACAGGGCAGAGTTAGTTCTGACACTCATTCCAATATTCTCTTTACTGTTCACCTATTACACTGAAAGTTGAATGCTTAGTGTAGCTGATGCAGAATTATGAATAGTAACACATATAAATAAGTAAAATACAAACTTTGTTTGTCTTTCGAAGTTCAGTGTTATGTGTGACCATCTTCCATTACACCAGTTTTGTTTGTGGTAAGAGTTAATATACAGTGATTTGTTAATAATGAAATCAGAATTCATTCACTCAAAAGCTGAACAATATATTTCTTTTCATACCTACATTTTTTAAAATCACCTTTCCTTATAACAATTTGAAACTTGAAACTGACAAAATTTCCTATACTTCCTATTCACCATCCATACACAACAAGCAGCACATAATTAAAAACTTTATAACAAGAAATTACTCAATTAATATAAGTACCAGAAGCTTGCCTCTGCTTCTTTTGCTCACCATCCCTATCAGAGGCCTCCCATCTTTTCCTTCCACTGATAGAGATTTTCAGGCAACAAATGAGGGAAACACACATGGGCCATGAACATTTCATCTTTCTTCAGCTTTAAATGCTAATGCACCAAAAAGTTCACACTTCACACAGTACACCTATTAATAAAACCTCAGTTTTGTCAGACATGTTTTCTCCAGCACATCCAACCTGTTCTTGAGTAGCTCACTGGCACTGTATGAGATGCATTTGCAGTAGATTCTTTTGTACATTAAATCAAAGTGCACTCACTCCTAGTGTGATCTTATACAAAACAATTATGGTTTAATTATGCTGCTGGCAGAGCCACCTACTGACCGAATTATGTACACCTATTATTGGCAGAACCATCTACTGGCAAATACCTTATATTACCACAGTCTGACACAGCATGATGTTTTATTGTTTTGAAAGATAATCCATACTTTCAATCAGCTATTTATTGTTGTTACTTAATACTTTTTTGAGATGGGCACAGTCACAATAAGCTCTTGGTTAAATAACTTCATGAATATACTAATTCCATTAGCATGTTATTAAATTAATTGTTCCTTTCAACATTAATCACAGAATGCTGACTGTCTGACTTCACAATGCTAAGTGTTGTCATACAAGGAAGAACACCAAGTTGAATGTCTATCAGTGGTTCCTCCAGAACAAGTGATTGCTATACCAAGTAGGGTTTGTTAATGGTGTAAGCAAAACACACCAGCCCACCAATCCAAGAACAAATAGTGACATCAAAAGCATTCTCTGAGGGTCCTTATATGTTAGAATCTCTGCAAAATCTGGGAATCCCATGTGGTTGCAGAAGGCATGAACTGCAAATGGTGCCACAAAATGACCTGCAATTAAAATAAAACACTGATAAAAAACAAGACTATCAAATAAATATGATATGCTATGTACATGATGTAGAAGAGCACTGAAATGTGTAGCAATAGGCAGCCTCGTAGTGTTACTGTGTATAAATGTACATACTTTTAACACAAGGAAATTTAATCTCCACAGAAAATGGGTATTTATATTGTAGTAAGTCAAGCTGAATGCATTACAGTACACTAAGATCCTCCAGTGGACAGCAACATACTTTCCCAGATACACTACAGTGAAAGAAAATACTGTCCATCAAATGTTACCCAATATAAATGAGGTGGCACAAATACTCCTGTACATATTTTTTGTTACATTGTATTTTGTTTGTGAAAGACAGCAATTCATTCATAAACTTTGTCTATACAAGAGCTGATATGCATTTTCCCCTGATACAGAATGTCCAGAAAGTTTCTATACAGTAGAAAACAAAACATTTATTTGCAAGTTCCTCTAGAAACATTATTTCCTTTAGAAACAATACCATTTTCCATTTAACATTATGTCAACAGTAAAGAACTACGATCTATGCAAGAAGTAACCACATAGCCAGTCTCTGCATGTTGTAGACATACAAACTACATATCTTCTGTTCTGAGACTAACTGAACACTCATTACCACCAAGCACAGGTAGATATCAGATATTTAGGAAGGTAAGCGCCATTTTAATTGTTCAGTTAACTGCTTACTTGGTGCCACTGACTGTCAACCACCATTATTAGCAGTAAAATGGTGGTGGTAAATTACTTATTTTTGGCTGTCAAATGATGAATAGCATTGCTGTCCACAAATTCCTGTGATGCTAATATGAGCAGGTGCTAAATCTGGACTGTATTCATGTGAAATTGTCATGGTCTGAATTACTGATAAACATGAAAAGAGAGAAAAAAAATTTAACCCCTTGTTCTCCCTCTTTCATGTAACTATACAGTCATGATGGGTTTAAAATGGTGTTGTAACAACCATCCAGTGCCAAATTTAGACAAAAGAACATGGAGGAAGAAGAGGCATTCAAACTGTCAGAGCAGTGGCAGGGATGGTCAAGTAGGGTTTTGCAAGAGTTGCAGTATAAAGAAACCCAGGAACCCATCTGCGATATGGAGACTTCAGTAGCTAATAAACATTGTGAAGGCACTAATTCTAATGCACACAACTCTAAAATAAAATAAACTTCCTCCATATGTCTTAGTAATCCAAAATAATGTCTCAACCAACAGCAGTAGTTCAATAACTAATGAAAATCCTATGAACTTAAATGATTCTCTATCACAGCCAAATATTAATGATCAAGTTAGGTGGCATATAGTGGAACAGATTATTGACTAAGGTAAAGGCATTCATTCTGAAGCAAGCCAGGTTGATAAGCACAGCTTCATATGTTATTGGTTTACCAAACAACTTTCAGATGTAAATGTAGTACAACCAGCCTGGATGATGTATTGCAAACTGAATAAACATTTATTTTTCTTTCCTTGCATTCTCTTTGGCAAACAAACAACATATTATTAAAATGCCAAGAAAGGATATTCTGACTGCAAAAAAACTCCCATTCATGCATAGATCACGAGTATTCATTGGATCACAGCACTAATTTCTTGAAATGGAAGTCAGTGGATAAAAGAATAAAAGAAAACCACTTTGTTAATTAAATTCAACAGTAAATGAAGAAGAGCAAAAATGGCAGGATATTCTCAAGTGTATTTTAGGCATTTTTTCTGTGCAAAATTAATCTGGCACTTTGGGGTTCCCAATGATAAAATTGGAAAAGAAAATGCTGGGGTCTTTCTTGATATTATTAAACTAACTAATAATCAAAACACAGCACTGGTTATGTAAACTACTGTCTAATAAAATTCAAAATGACTTTATTGGCCTGCTGGGCAACAAAGTCTGAGCTAAAATAATTTCTGAAGTTAAGGAAGGAAAGATGATCCCCACCAAATACAGAGCAGCCAAGTGACTCCTCACACAAATTTTATTCATGGAAGAGTTTCTATTAATCATAGAGATGGCGGGGGTCACAGTGGCCGCGCGGTCCGAGGCGTGGGACTTGTGCCGCTTGGTCACTGGGACCGTGGGTTTGATCCCACTCAAGCGATGGATGTCTGTCCACGTCTTTCTGTGTTGTGCTGTCCTGTGTACAGATAGAGGCCTTGCGATGGGCCAATCCCTCGTTCATGGAGTCCTACCAAATGTCCATAGATCGAAGATAATGAAGAAAAGGTTGGGATCCGCAGTGCTCAGGCACTTGAAGAACGAGTCATAAAAGTATCAAAGTAAGTATCATAGAGATGGCAGGAAAATAAAATGAAGTGCAAAAGAACATTATTGTTAGATTTCTGCCATGTGAAGTACAGTTTTAATCTGGCAGATGTAAAAGCAGCTTCTTCAAATACAAAACATTTTAGTTTTTCAGGCTCCACCAACTGCTCTTAAATGTTAACAAGCACATTACAGACTGCTTAAAGGTCACTCAGAAACATACTGGTCTTCTAAAGCAAGTGCTATTAAAGCACAGCATTCACAAATAACAGAACTGTTTAATATGTTGAATGATAATTTTGCAAGTATGTCAGCCAATCCAGGAACAATTTCCATTACCCAGAAGTATTTTCCATCAAACATACCCTCAATCCTTAGCAGTAACATGCAATTTAATTCTGAACTGTTGTTAACAAAGCAGTGAAATCCAAGTACGTGACAGTCTTGCAAGCCTCATGAAAGTCAGTTGGATTGAAGGGTATGTTAAAAGTATTATACATGAAGATGTAGCTGAAGAAGCCTTAATTTGTGCTAAAAATTGCTGAAGAAATGCAAATTACAACTTTTATATCTAGGAGAGAATAAAATAATTATTCAACAAAGCAACAAGAATTCAGCTTTGTCTGTTAAAGGGTGGTGGTGGTGTTTTTTTATAGGTAGAAAAGTGAAGTTTTGCAAAAAGCCTCATTGAATTTTGAATTTTTGTTTTGCACTCACAGCTGTGAAACTAATTGAATTAAAAGGAACTACAAACAGTTTACTTTTAAAATATACATAATGGATACTGATGCATTGTAATAGTTTGAGGTGGAGAGCTTCAAGCATCAAGCATAAAATTTAGTGTCTCATGTGAAATCAGCAATAACTTGATCTTTTCTGGCTGATACAGGACTGTGTTCTTGCAGGGCTGCTATTCAATCACAGAAACCACATACCTTTTTTTTTACTTTGCCTGTTACTGTCTTATCATGTGAAAGGACCCTCGGAAAACTTAAAAGAATAACAATTTTTTTTAGATAATCTGTGGCACAAGATTGTCAAATTTTGGTGTTCTTCCCACAGAATTCAGCATTAAAGAATGTCTTAATTTTTATGATGTAATCATAAACTTTGCAGCCATTGAAATTAGAGTTTTACTGTAAACACTATTAAATTTAAAACTGTTCCTGTATACAAGTAAATGTGATTTTGTTGTGCTACTACACCTCCATATTAGAATCAACTCCTTTTTTAAGAGGTAAGATTATGTTCTTTAATTTGGGATGATAATATTTCAACCTGGTGGCCCTGGGTGCTCAAATGCCTTATCTCAGTACTGACAGCAATGTTAGAAATTTGGAAGTATAGGGATGGTTGAACCCCAACATTTTACCAACCTGATGGTGCACGGCAAGTTTCACCACTTATCCAGTTGGCAGATTGTACATGTATGGATACATGTGAACTAGGCTTCAATGTCTTTCAGAACCAGTGTTCTCTTCAAAACAGGGGGATGGAGTTGGGTTTAGGATAGTCTACAGAAGATATAGTGGCATATCAGTGGTATGGTGGAGAGGTATGGTCCAATGATCATAGTGGTGAAGAGAGGGAATGTTTGGTTCTGGGAAGGCTAACCAACAAGAACCAGTGCATCTGATGGACAGAAATGTGCTCCAGGGCACAAATCATCTAAAGAGTGCCTGTGCTGTGGACAGGCATAGAGAAATCACAAACTTAAACTTGTAGTGATTTAAAAAGCCATGATCACTCAAGGGTACTGAAGCAAACTGCATTCCTGTCCATTTTTGGAACTAGAAAGGAGTACGAATAGAATGGGAGACCTTTGAAAATTTATCCCACAAGCATTTTGTTCCAGAAGTTTGGGCTTTCCTGAAAGAGAGAATTAGCACTACAGAAAGCAGTGTTGCTGCTAGACAATGCCCCTTGTCATCCAAGAGAGAGCACACTGACTTCTGAATATGGCCTTGTCATTGTACAATTCTTGTCCCCAGTGTCAGAGCTATTATACAGCCCATGTACCAAATAGCGATTCTGTCCATGAAACGACACTACGAGGCTGATCTCAGAAACTCTGTTGATGGAGATGACACCACAACAGAATTAAGGAAAATAAATAACAGTGTTAGAGAGAAAAAATATTTTAAAAGTTTTTCTAACAAAAAAATCAACAAGTCTGAAATTCATGTTCTGTAAATGCCAACAAAGATGATGTTGAAGAATGGCTACAGAGTGTTGCTTGTAATCTGGGCTTCCGGCACATGACAGACACTGTCAAAGTTGCTGGAAGAAAACGAACAGAAGTTGAGAAGGACAAATGTGAGAAGCTTCCAGTGTTGACACTACTACACTACACAGGTCAGAGAGGGTTTGAATACCATGACACTGCAACCACAAGAAAAATTTATGCTGCCATGATGAGGAGTCTAAACAGTTCATAAAAACAAGTGACTTTATTTCTCAAGATAAACATCACCTGCATGAAAAATCGTACAGTAATTTGTGATGTCTTGAAAATCAACTGGACAAAATATTTTAAATTATTCATGTTTTTCAATTATTCATCCATCTTCTCCCCTTCATTAGACTGGATAATCAGGAGTTAACTGTACTTCCAGTCTCCAGAAAGTTACATTACAAAATTAAGTTTGCAACATACAGAGTGATAGTCAAATTAAAATAAAATAATTTTAGTTAGTTTTTTGTCCATGCTAGGCACACACAAAGCAAACAATATAAAATTAATTAACTGTGGTGACATGTATTATCAGTAAGTATAATTAATAAATTCAGTTTCAAATTAAATAATAAACAGTAACAATGACAATATATTGTAAACGTTAAGAACCTGCAATTAATTCAAAAACATATACTTTGTAAAATGTATTTCCAAAATAAAGTAAAATGGCTACACAAAGGTGGCACTTCACCACCCACCCCCAAATTTATGAGACTTCTGACATCTTTGAATGTACATCTCAGTCTAATTCCCATTTAGCTAAACCCCAATGAGTTAGAATTATACACACCAGTTTTTGCAAACAGAAATGCTGAATAGGCACCAAACAATGTTGTATATGAAAACTGAAAACCTGAAATGAAATTCATAAAAATTAAATAGATTAAAAACCAAAATAAACTTAGACAATTACATTCTTAAATAAACCCACTAGTGCTGTGATATTACTGCAACACTTACATGATATCATTAAAGCCCTTTTGAGATCTAAACCACTTCTCATTCGTTCTACCATATGATGAAAATGAGCTGAAACAATACAGAAACATTCCTTTCACTATTAGCAGAGACAAAACAATAGTTCCTCTACCAGGAAGTAATCTAAACACTAAACAAATTGATAAGCTTACATAAAACATAGTAATATAAACAGTTTTATATTTTAATCATCAACAAGATATTTTGGTATAGACTGTGCGCGTGCACACACACACACACACACAATCTTTATTACATTCTGCTGATCCATAAGTTTGTCAGATGATAATAGGATGTGGAATAAGTCATAATAATATAACACATATTACAAGTACTGTCCACAGATCATGAGAAAAACCCTGCTGAGGGAAGTCGTTTCTGGTGCGGTACGGGGGGAATGTTACTTATCAGCTGGACTAGAGGGCTGCTATTGGTGGGAAGTGTGATACATCAAGAGTTTTATGCTACTACAAACAGACTGAAAACATCAAGCCGTTAAAGAGTAGCATGTAGTGAGTACACCTGTACTGTGTTCTGTGAGTGTTGCGATAATATTGTAGATTAAATCACTGTGCAACTGTGAGGTAATCTTAAAGCTGTACCCATTAAAACACATGAAAGCCTTGTCTATTGTTCGTTCAGTGGTTGTGGAACGAATGCTTTTAGGATCGGTCTTCACTCATGGCGAAATCTTGAGCATGCGCGTATATCAAATTCCTAGCAGGGATTTTCTCCTGGTCTGCGGACTGTACAATTCATACTGTTATATAGATTTCACGTATTATAAACAAAGAGTTCACATAAAATAGTGACGTTACAAATATATTCACCCATTTCACACAGTAGATAAATTATACTACCCATTTATATTACATAAAGGCAAGAAAACCTTAATGAACATTTTAAGTTTTTGTAAACATTACAAATTCATCAACAGAGTAAAGTAATATGTAATTATTTCCTTAATGCTACTTTATATTACGTCCTCTTATTTATGAGATTTCTGAGACTTTATGGTACACTACTGAAAATTTTTGTGTGCATAATATGCACTCTTCTGAGAACATGGCAATAAGTCTATGAAGCTAATTCTTATTTCTCGAGTTGACACTGTGTACAGCAGAATTAGTTTGAAAATGTACCTGTTTATTTACAGCAAAGTTCATTAAGGAGAATATGCATTCACATGAAAGAGATAAGATCATTAATCTCTTGAAGAGACTTATACATTAATTTCTAAGTTTGACACCAGCCTGTAATCTAACAATTTTTATTTGTAAAGTGAATATTTGTTTGCTGTTAGATAAATTACACAAAGAAATTACTCCATACTTCATTATGTTTCAAACAAATTAATACAGGCCACCAAAAGAGCATGCGTGTCAGAAATTAATATTTGTTGATTTCAGAAAAAGTCTTACCTACTCCAAAGAACAGTGGGCAAACAAAAACTGCAGTCATTGGTCGGTAGCACTGCAATAGTAGAGGCAACATGCAGGCTCTGAAGGTGAACTCTTCAGATAGTGGTGCCACCACATGGTTACGAAGCCAAATTAAGTTTGTTAAATTTGACATCCAGTACATGGGTTCTAGAAGGAAAGCAATTAAGCTATAGTACTGTAGTTCTTGAACAAAGATGCAAAATTGTTGCAGTTAAAACAGTAAAATACAAAACCCAAATGCTTTTATTATTTATTTCAGAGCACTATGTTAACTATTACTACAAGGAATTTCCACATATTGCCTTGTACTTTACGATAGTGAAATCCAGGCAAAATGTTCTGGGTATATATGTACGATTAGGAATCAAAGAATGACAGAAAGTTTTTGTTGGTGAGCATTGGTAAATGACAATTTTTTAGACTGAGAAGATGTAGGATAATATTAAGATGAATCACAGGAAAGTGGGCTGTGGAGATGGGAAATGGATTGGCTCAGCATCACGTACAATGGTGGGCTTAGGCATTACCATATCAGTTATCTATGTTAACTGTTCATCTGCTAAACATAGTGTAATATTGGATACTTATTGGGAGGTTCTCTACAGATAAATACTGATATACCTAAAAAATGCCAGAGTCACTTATGTTAATATTCTTCCAAGAACATTATTCATAATCATCCAATGTTCTGATGATATAACATATTCACTTGATCAACACTGTTATATAAACCAAAAACAAGAAAGAAATAACTTTTTTCAACACTGTACAATTCAATTTCAATTCAGGTTTTATATTAATTTAACCCCAAAAATTACTGAATGGAAAATTTCAAAAATTTTAAAACATTTCCTTGCAAGAAACACAATAAGGGTGAAGCATGGATGGATAGATAGAGACTTTAAACACTGGTTCCACACAAACATTTTGGTGCAGAAGTTTGAGCTTTCCTGGAAGAGAAAGAATTACAAAGAAAGCAGTGCTTCTACACAATGCCCCTTGTCATCCAAGTGAGACCGACTTCTGAACACTGTTCTTGCAGTTTTTGCCCCCATCATAACCATTATACAGCCCATGGACCAAGCAGTGTATGCATCCAAGAAATTACACTACCAGGCTGACCTTGCTCTAGTAATGTAAAAAAGTGCATCTTAAAATTGAGGAAATACAGTTGTTCTGACTAGAATAACCAGAATACTTATGTAAATTTCTGTGTTCAAAACTTGTGATACTAGCTATGATATACCATCCTCCAAACAGCCACCACCTCTTCTCATTGCCAACAACTTCTAATACCGCTCTGGTCTATCAACACCCAAACACACATACTGCCTCATCTGACTGAAAACACCTGTTATCAGAAGCTCAATTTGACTGTAGTTCATACCTGATTTGTAGAATGTCCTTGAAGAATAAGAACAAAGGAGGTACCCTTATAGAGCAATGCAAGAATATGAAACACTCTATTATCAGTCAGATTTCTCTTTGATTGCATAGAACAGCCAGCTTCAGAAATATCAAGATGTTTCTTTTACCATGAATCTGAAGTATAAACTTGAAAAGCAAGATGAACCAAGAAATGGGCGTGTATATCCTCACCACTGTGAAAATATCAAATATCATAAAGGTGAGGCCAGCACTGGTGAGAAGTCAAACTTGGGACTTCCCCAATATGCAGGAAGCAGCAGAGTATTTATTGGTCAACAATGGACCACTGACCTTCTGTAGTAATACTATGAAGAAATGTGACAATCATTCATATTCCTCATTTCCTACATTTTACTGACAATAAACAACCTGACAGAATTGATAAAAATTATGACAATGTGGAAACTTGAAACTGTCCGACATCCTGATTAAATTCTACAGTAGATTTTATAACTCATCTAACATCTAGCACAAGGTCATTATGTTAGTACTATGACAGAAATCATCTGGAAAGAAAAGCAAAAAGTTTGCATGCTGACAAATATGCACAAACCACTCGCAGAAGGTAACTTCAGTGATGAGAATGACAATGCTCTAAAATCAGCCATTATGGAAGACTGTAACCGAAACACAGCAAACAGTTGTCTGTCATACATGGAAGTGGACTGAGAAACATTCCTCCCACTGTCTACCTGACAGTGGGACTCCTCTTACATCACCGAGGTTTTCTTCTGGAAGAGAACTGTGCCTTCGGCCTGTCAAAAGAGGGATACCAATTGCTGTGACCACAAAATCAGCATGTCTAGAGTCCAGCTATAACAAAGGCAAGAAGCTACACTGTTGCATGTTCTGCTCATGGAAAGGTTGCACAAATTGTGTTCAGTTGTACAAAGTGGGAGGTATGATTGTGTATGTATCCATGTTTTGAGGATTACCATACAAAACTAAACTTATTTATACTTCACAGGCCAACAGGAGTTGCAACTGCTGTACAAATGCAGAAACATTTTCCTAATAACATGAGTAATAACACAGTATTATGTATTTTAATTTTCATTAATTTCAACTTCAAGGAATGAGCATATTGACCCATTCCACGACAGCTGATCAAGGCATTTGTCCTTACTAGAGCAAAGCGCTCCTTTCGTCTATCAAGGTCATTCGGCAAAAAAGTGTAAAGAAGATGGGTCACAAAAATGTGTAAGATCAATATCAATAAATCGACAACAATGGTTACCTAGGAAACGTCATCTATTTACTCGGCATACAATGAAAGGAAGGGGGTTAAAACACTTGACCAACCCCCCCTTTGGGGAGGTTGGTCAAGTTTTAAAATCTTGAGTAAGAAACTAAACTAACCCCCCCGAATGGGGGGTTAAAACACTTCTTTTATGTGCCACAAATCTACAGCATGGAACTACTGGCTTTACTTCCCCTCCAAAGGAAGTTGTGCTACGGACTTTAATCACCCTTAAACATCCACTGACCTCGGCTGGGTTTGAACCTGCAAACCTTGGGTCAAGTGGTGAGCACACTAACCACTAGTCCACCAAGGGTGACATTAATTACAAACAGCTTATTTTACATATGTTGTTGAAAAAAATGTGAAAATATATTATGTTGTGAATTCAAAGGGACTATCTGCCTGTCTTGCACTCAACCTAATTTACCCAGTTCCTCTGATCTAGCAGACATACCAGCATACAATTTCCATAATCCACTGAAGCCCTGCATGCTGAGTGGACCAAGAAAGAGAACCATTGTAAGAAACACTGGAATAACAGTAGCAGGGAGCAGACCATGCATTCTCAGACCCAACAGTTGCCACAAAGAAGCCTGAAAAAAGAAAAGCCACCTATACACAAACGTACCAAGCAATACAGAAACTGGTGCGAGGTTCCACATGTTTCAATTCAATTTCTTGCAATTCAATTTAAGTTTATTGTATCCTGTAAATCACAGGCCACTTACATTTAAATTTTCTACGCAGACAATATTTCTGTACACACCACACAAACTGGAAAACTCTTACGCAAAATGTAGCACAGCATGGAATATTTAAATTGACTGTGTTTTGCTTTGTTAGACGAAGCAGAGGATGAACTTCACACTCTTTGATCCAAAGGCTATATTGGCTGAGACAAGCAGCTTGGCTCAGTGGTAATATTGGAAATTGCACTCTTAACGACACCATTAAACAACCTCATAATCAATAATATGTAGTGGTTGCAGCACAAATCTTTCAGAATTGAGTTTAATTCCTTCAAATGCTGGTAACACTCATTTCTAGTTGGCTTTCTTCATGCACAGCTAGGAACATTTTCAAGCAATGCTGTTTATTTTCCTGGTATATGTAAGAATAGATACTGTTAAGTTAATTAGAAGAAAAACAAAAAGTGGTTCTAGTCTACTGCGAGATACAATTTTTGGATTTTCCAGATAAGATCCAAATAAACTACTTTGCAGATACAAGTCAGAAACACTATTCCGAAAACTAGGAATTAAAAGTCTATTCTTCCTACTTTATAACTAGAATTGCTTTATGTTAGACCAAGCAAATTTATGACATGAAAACATGTAGGTAGATACCAGAATTTCAAAGAAAAACATGTTGTCTCAAACTGTTTTCAGCCCTGAAGACAGGATCAGTATGTTTCTCTGAAACACTTGAATCTAGCATCAAAACGCAGAAGATCATCATCATCATCATCATCATCACTGTGAGAACTTCAAATCTCAGATATTTCAATGCGGAAGTATGATGGGTAACAACAGTTAAAAAAGAAAAAGATTGAGAACATTTTGTCACCTACAAAAAAAATCCTGCCTTAAAACACAATATGATCAGTTTCCCCACAACCTTATAAATTCATGTTTCTTCAACCCAATATTTATACAGTACTTATCATGTTTGTATTAATTGTGTGAGAAGTAAAATAAATCAATTCCTACCTTGTTTTCAGGAAGTCAGGGGTTCAATCACCAGAATGTCTGTACAGACTGAATTTGTCCATTGACATTTTTTTTACAAACATATTGGATTAAGATATATACTCATCCTAAAGTTTAAAGTCAATATAAAATTCAAATCAAAATTGCTGAATCTTAATGTGTACAAAAAGCATAAATGTCACATATTTCACATGTGCTTTGTTCTCATTTGGTTGTCACATTGCAATGTATGTTGTTTTTATTGACCAATTCCCTGTAATCTTAACAGACTTACTGACAGTTTATCAGTATAAAAAGTGCAACAGAGAAAAAGGCAATTCAATTCATGATCAAAACAATCCTTAGAACCTTACATCAATTGCCTACAGCAGCAAATAAAATAAATAAAAACATAATTATTTTAAGTCAAGAAACTCATGCAGTTATGATGGAATGTCAACAAAATTGTTCAAAAGTTACCCACAGTATATTAGTGTTCCTTTAAGCTACCAGTATAGTCAATTACTTCTGATAAGGGAGTAAGGGAAAATGCCCTCAGTTTGCTTCTTGTTGACACATTGAATGTGCTGGAAACTGTGTGCTAAACGTGTTTGTGTTGTTCGACCACTATTCTGCAGTAGCAACTGCTTTATATTTATAAATTGTAGAAGAGCCACCACGTCTGGTAAGAGGAGTGAATGAGTTGCTAAAAGTTGCGTAGGTCTATTGCATTAGAAGATATGATGGACGTAATTCGTAGAATAGAAGGTGGTGATACTGGTCGTAATGTGTGCAGAAGTATGAAGTTGCCTCCTTCCACTGTGACCACCATAATGAAAAATTCATATAAAATAAAACAGTCAATGCAACAGGCTACGAGAGTAAGTGCAACACAAGTAAATTATAGCAGAAGTAAACTTTTAGAAAGAATGGAGAAATTGCTGTTGCTATGGGTGGAAGACATGAATCGAAAAAACATTCCCTTGACTGAAATTGCTATCACGGATAAAGTGAAGTCAATTTTTGAGGAACTTAAGTCATCAATGTTTGGGTGCTGCGAACGCATGTCATTGACTTCCCATTGATTTACATTATAAAAAGAGTTTCAATTTACACCAATTCGTCCAGGCATAAATCAAGGGTTACCTGTATTTGTAAAGTCAAGTACAAGAGAGTAACAAATTCCTTCACCACTAACATTATCCTCACAGAATAATAATCTGGACTCATAAGAGGGCTCTCAACTGTTATACTCTTGTTCAAATTCATAGACAAAATCTTACATACCTCTGATTATAAAATGTATGTTGAAATACTTTGTGACGTTGTTAAAGCATCTGATTGTATGAATCATGACATACGACTACCAAAACTAAACTTTTATCAAATTCAAGGTAAAGAAAGACAATGGCTTAAATCACACCACCATGGCAGAAAGCAAAAGGTAGAAACTAAATCTCCTAATTCAAATTATAACACATACTTAAACTGGGTTGTTTCAAATCATGGAGTCCCTCAAGGTTCAATACTTGGTCCTCATTTTAACCTCTTACATATCAACCACCAACAACCAATTCTCAGTCCAAACCTTACACTCTCTGCTGATGATACTAACTAACCAACTAAGTAGATGGCTTACTGAACTCGAAGGTTCATCAACGAATTAACCAAAGCCCTCCACCGGACCCTTTCCTGGGCCAACAAAATCCAGTCTCCTTCAACTCCTATCTCCCACAGATCCCGCTGATATTATCCTCCCATCTACGTCTAGGTCTCCCCAGCGGTCTCTTCCCCTCAGGCTTCCCAACCAATACCCAGTGCACGCCTCTGGCCCCATCCATGTGCGCTACATGCCCCGCCCATCTCATTCTTCCTGACTTAATCACCCTGACAATATTGGGGGAGGAATACAGATTTTTAAGCTCATCATTATGCAGTTTTCTCCATGCCCCATCACCTTCTCTCCCAGGCCCAAATATCCTCAACATGCTATTCTCAAACACCTGCAATCTTTGTTCCTCCCTCTGAGTGAGAGACCATGTTTCGTACCCATACAAAACAACAGACAAAATTATTGTTTTGTATACTTTAATTTTCGAAGACAAAATATTCTGAACTGAGAAGTAGCAAGCATTTTTGGAATTTAGTCTCCTCCTAACTTCCTCATGAGTGTCATTTTGATTTGTTATTGTTGCTCCCAAATATTTGAACTCAGTAACACTTTCAAAGAATTTATTAACCACTCTAAGATAATTTTGCCGCCTGTCTGCTGACGACGAGATACTAACATGTACTTAGTTTTTTTCTGAATTTACTTCTAGCCCCACCTGTCTACTAGCCTCTAGTAAAACTTCTGCATTCCTCTTTATTGTACTTATATCACCCCCAAATAAATTAACATCATCAGCATATGCCAATAGCTGATGTGCCCCATTCAATTTCAAACCCTCCTGCATATCTTGGACTTTCCTGATGGCATATTCTAGCGCCAAGTTAAAGGGCAAAGGAGACAAAGCATCTCCTTGTTGTTCCAAATGCCAAATCTCATATCCTTTTTCAATTGCCATGGTAGTGCCAAAGAGTCCGTCCTGTCCGAGGCTTAGTTAGTTTTTTTCGTAACGATGTTCTTTTACGGTGAAAGGTTGTTAGCCTTACGTCCAACCCCCAACCTGATGATACTAGTATTACTAATCATCCTGGTAGTGACTACTTTCAAAATTCTATTAATGATATCTTTGCTAACCTGAACAAATGGTTTAAATCTAAAACTTCTTGACGATGGTGAAGAGTCAATTGAATAAAAATTTTCTTGGATATTATCCATCGTCTAGTAAATATAAAACGTAAAACGACGTTTCGGAGATGGGACTTTATCTCCGTCTTCAAAAGCCAAAGAACTCACATTAAAGAAAGACAAACTTCATGAAAGTTGCAAACAACAAAACATGTATTAATTCAATATCAGTTATGACAATAAAACAACTGAAGCATTAACTACAAAATTCTGTGACTTCCAAATTCATACCTTAAATTAAAAGCAGCACAACGAATATATTATCTCCAAACAACGATCAGTATGCTTTGCCATGAGGACAGTAAAATCACTCTTGAAAACAGATATTTTAAAATTAGTTTACTCTGCTTATTTCTATTCCATCATGTCTTCTGAGGAAATTCAACAGAGACGGAGAGTACTTAACACCCAAAATTAAATCATCAGGCGTAAAAAAGTCTCTTGAGGAAAAATTTGATATATTCTATAGTGAATTCTTACTCTCATTACCATTGTACATTGGAGAAGTGCCAAACAAATTTTGACATACATAGTATAAACACAAGGATAAACATGACATAAGCCAAATTCTAATCTCACTACATATCAGAAATGTGCTTACTTGTGCAAGGATCAAATTATTTGATACTCTCAGAGCCAGCATTAAATGACAAAATCATTTAAGCCATACTGAAAGATTATCATTTATCTTATTATGCCTAATCCACAGAATTTATTTAAACTGAAAATTGTTAATTACTATAAATATTTATGTAAGTAACTAACAACAATGTAATGAGACATGAATTTATTTGTATTAACTGTTGTTTTAAAAGCTGCATTTCCTGTAAAATTTTCTGGCCTTAATATCATTCCAACCACTGAAACTGAGTGTAATACAGTCCCTCAGTCAAAAAACTCATCAGGTTATTATGAAATAACAAGTAAAATTTTGAAAGCTTGTTCAGCTTTAATTAGTCGTCCATTAACCCACATTTGTAATCACTCATTATACACAGGCATTTTCCCGGACCGCCTTAAAATATCAGTAGTATGACCGCTGTACAAGAAAGGGGACAAAACCAGTATGACAAATTACAGGCCAATTTCACTTTTAACTACTTTTTCTAAA